TTTGAAAGCAGGTACACATCCATGGCCAGTGGATGCTTCCCTCTCTGATGCACAGCTTCGTTGGACAGAGTAGCATCAGAGAGCTCTGTCCCCCTGCTTCAAATTAATTTAAAGTTAAACCCTTGGAAACAGGGTTTGACACACACACACACACACACACACGCCGAGAGGAGGTTTCTGAGTGGACGACCAGGTTCAAGCCATGCGCCATGCGCCCGAGGCAGGTGTCTTGTGGCGCCTGGAAAGCAGATGCTGCTTGGCACGTCTTCGAGGCTCCGCTTTTGGAGGTTCCGGATGAGAAGACGGACACTTGGCTGGTTCGATCGAGAGGTTGAGCTGGGGTGGGACACTTGCGATTCATAAGGTTGAGAGTGTTTCAGCTGATCATTTGTGAAGTGCTGTGCACTGTGCACTGGAGAGATTTGAGGTATTGCCTCATGGCTCGGTTTGGATGCGACAGGTTGTAATGACGCCCCACGAAAGAACAGCTGACCGTGGGGACAAGCGGTGCCCTTTCTCATTCAAGACGAGTATAGTTGCGGATGTTCAACAAGCAAGTAAGTGGTCACCCAACTTGTTACATAAATAGGAGAGAAGTTGTGGCCGGTGGCCGTGGTCATGGGATGAATATGGATGTTTATGGATGTACATAGATAGGTAGATAGACAGACAGATAGACAGGTAGGCAGATAGACAGATAGATGGATCATTATGGATCCATGCAATCCCGGCGAAAACACCCAGGAGATTCTCTATCACATTGTGGCTTGTGCCGCAGCAAGGAGGAACCGTGGCCCAGTGCTTTTGACTCAAGTTTTCCCAATACTAGCCTTGCAACAGACGCACTTGGCAAAACCGGCAACCGCGAGGATGTTCAATTCGTTCAAAAAAGGAAACCACCACCTCGAAATAGCTACTCTTGCACACGTCTGTTGACTTTTCATGTGTGTTCTTGGGAGGTGTGGTAGCCACATATTGGCTAAGAACCTTTCCGGAAAAACATCTTCAACATTGAGTTACTGTGCAGTCAATGCAGTGAGTTGGCCCACGTGGTAATACACTCCCTGAAATAATCATGGAAGTCGCAAACCGCCACCTATATTTGCTCTTCAGAAACAGGTTGGGAGTGTCAGCTTAGCCTTCGCTGCAAAATTGATGGGGGATTCAACTAACAATTTTCACCTGGTATCGGTCGGTTTAATCTTTGTTTTGTGTGTGTGCGCGCTGTTTTTGTGCGCGTGTGTGTGTGTGTGTCGTGTGTGTCCTCGGATCCTCCACCCCCCCAAGGAGCAGGTTTCCTTGGAGTGGGGACTCCTGGTTTTCCGAAGTGGGGGAGGCGAAAAATCCAGTTTGCTGGGCAGTGCATGGCTGCCAGGTGGAGAACAGCGGCAAATGGTTTCCCCAGATGGAGGACAGTGGCCAAAGTTCGGGAAATCTTGGGGAAGATGGACCTTTGTTTTGGACAGACCTCTTCCATAGAAATATCTTCACAACTTTTGGTTAACAAGAATAAACGTAAGTAAACCTTAATGAATATAACATAATAATTACAAGAGTGATCACATGACAAGAATTCTTTGGTAAAATATAAAGGGACAAAATATAATTCAAGTCCTTCATGATCTTTGAGGGAACTGAGATCAGAGCTGCTCGCTCGCCAGAAGGTGAATTTCCAAAACACAGTCATGCCTGGAGACGAGGGCTTGTTTGTCCCGGTTATAAACAGGGTGGCACAAGACTGGACCGGAGCTACGCCGGCTACGCGCAGAGAATTTTCAGAACATCTCTCCTGCAGTGGATGTAACATGTGCCAAACATGCCGGTGAACATCCATGCACTTATATTGGGGAGTCACGCTTGGTGCTGTTGACGCCTGGTTCAGGACTCGGTAGGACGGTTGGGTGGGACTCCGATGCGAGGGGGAGCGGTCGACACCTGATTCAGGTTTCAGCAAGACCGAAGACTTGGCTTGTTTTCTTTTGTTTCTTTTTTCTTGATGAAGATGGGGGTTTGGGGGCGAAAGCTAGCATACTGTGCTTACATGATCTTGCAAGATAGGAGGAAGGTTCGCCGCGCAGCTGAGCTTGACCGAAGTGGGTGCGTCAGAAGTGTCCTCTTGAGCACTTCCAGTTCTCAGGGAAATGTTGCAGATATTATATAATTGTATATGTTTATATATATATATATATCTACAATATATACATAAATTTAGAGACCTACATATACCTACCTTCAGAACGTTGCTCGGACATACAGGTTTTTAGAACAACTAGCACGAATTGAATAGCGCTGGATCAGCGCCATCCAGACTCAAGACCTTTGGTTTTGGTCGGAAGGCATGTTCGCAACTTCTTATTGACTTTAGTAGGGCTTTCCACAGTTTGCCTTCGGTCGCCGGTCGATGCTTTTGTTGCAGCTGCTGTTGAAATAGCCGCAACAGAATATTCACATGTAAGTGTTTAGAACGTTGTTTTTTAGTGTGTTTATTTTATTGTTCCCGGGGAGGGTCAAGAAACCACCACGGGGTTCCGGTCCTTGTTTGTAGGCTGCGGCGTGCTGTGGTGTTGTAGAGGTTCCTTTGCAACAGTTGCTAGCAACAACTACTACTATACCTGCTACTACATACTACTATATACCTACTTCTTCCTACTACCACCTACTACTACTAGTACTCCTGCTGCTCCTACTACTACTACTACTACTGCTACTACTGCTGCTGCTACTACTACTACTACTGCTACATACTGCTACTACCTACTACTACTGCTACTACTACTGCTACTGCTACTGCTACTACTACTTCCACTACCACTACCACCACTACTACTACTACTACCACCACCACTACTACTACTACTACTACTTATTCTTCTACTACTTCTACTACAACTACTGCTACTACAACGACTACTACTACTACGACTACTACTACTGCTACTACCACTACTACTACGACTACTACTACCAACAACCACAACCACAACCACAACCACTACCTACTACTACCACCTACTACCTACCTACTACTTACTACCTACTACATAGTACCTAGTTCCTAGTACCACGACTACCACTAGTACTACCACTACCACTACTACTACTACTACTACTACTACTACTACTACTACTACTACTACTTCTACTACCACTACTACTACTACTGCTGCTACTACTACGACTACTAACAGCAACAGCATCAACAACAACTACTACAACAACAACCACTACCTACCTACCTACCTACCTGCCTGCCTGCCTACCTACCTACCTACCTACTACCTACCTACTACCTAGTACCTGGTACCTGGTACCTCGTACCACAACTACAACTACTACAACTACAACTACTGCTACTGCTTCTGCTACTACTACTAACAACAACAAACAACAACAACGACAACAACAACAACTACTACCACTACTACTACTACCACCACTACCACTACCACTACCACTACCACTACCACTACCACTACCAC